ATGGTCTGGCTGATAATCATAATTTTACATTAAATATGATCTTTTCATTTAACTTTTGTCACAGAAGGTGCATTACTTTAGTCCATCCTATTTGAATGTCCAATAAATGCAGCTTCCACTTTTGTTGCTTTTCCCATGGTTTAATTTTCCTGTTACTATTGTACAAAGACTATCTATTTTGTCATCTCTCTTTTTCTCTGTTTCTTTTCATGTACTAGTGTCTTCCACCGAGTGCCCCTTCCTCCCACCATTTATCATTTAGTTTTTAATTTGTCAAGCTTTTTTATACATACCACTTTTCAATGTACTTCTACAGACTTGTTCTTGGTTCCTTATTTCAAGTCCTTCAAGTTATAGTTGCAACAGTGCTTCTGGTGCTTCTTTGTTGAAAGCAGCAGTGCCTAGACATCTTAAATCCTACTGTATCATCTTCTTTTGTACAAGGAGTGGAATTAATATTTAAAATGCTATATGAGCTTAAGATACATTTATTTTCTTTGTAGTTTTTGAAGACTTGACTTAGCTTATAGTGCTGCTTAACATAACCAAAGCCTGATTGAATCATGATTTTTATTCCTGTGCATTAGGATTAGCATTTGTTTGTTACATATTTGTTGTTATATTTGTCTCCTTTTTTTGTTCTCATATAACAGCAGAAACAGTACACATCTTGCTGATTAGTTAATAAGCTTACATTCTGGCTGGTGCAAAGCATCTCAGTGTCTGCTCAGTATCCATGTGAGCATTTTCCTTTTTCTTTGCTTTCTGATTGTGTATATGGAATAATACCAGATTTCTGAAAACATTATGGAGAACTTCTAAAGTTTCAGTTGTTAAAAATTTAAAAAAATCTGTCAGCTGAGTCTCTTGTTTGTTTGAGATCAAACTTTCAAAGAATTGCTCTTTTTCAAAATGCTTCTCATCTTCCAGTATATTCCAAAAGAAGATGGTGCATCCTGAAAAACAAATTTAAAAAGCTTTTTGAAATTCAGTCATTGGATATCACCTCCCTGGCTTATGGATTTTCATTCTCAAACATGTTCTAGATACAGCTGGCCTCGGGGCTGCTGTTTTAGCTGTCACTGTCTTCCTTTTCCCTGACAGGAGTTAACTGAAACAGCTGGTGTAACTGTTATGTTAAATCACAGAGACTTTCATTTGGCTAGAATCAGGATAAAAACAACCTCCCCCAAAAATCTTAGGTCCTACTAAATGTTCAACACAGATTATTTTGACAGAGCTAGGTATGCACAGCTGTAGTGTCAGTCCAGAAGAGCAGAAACTTCTAGCAGTGGGATGTAACAAGCTAATTCATTGTTAGGTAATGGTTGAAGTGGTAACTGTCCTACAAGGGGGTAGTTTAGCATTGAATTTTCTCTTGTTGAATGATAGAGTTTGGTTTTTCACTCTTTGTTTTAAATGACTTCCCCCCCCCACCCCCGTAGAGCTTATCGTGGAATCATAGAATGGTTTGGGTTGGAAGGGACCTTAAAGATCATCTCGTTCCAACCCCGCTGCCACAGGCAGGGACACCTTCCACTAGACCCGGTTGCCCAAAGCCTCATCCGACCTGGCTTCCAGGGATGGGGCCTCCACAACCTCTCTGAGCAACCTGTTCCAGTGCCTCACCACCCTCACAGTCAAGAATTTCTTTCTAACATCTAATCTAAATCGATCCTCCTTCAGCTTAAACCCATTACCCCTTGTCCTATCACTACACTCCCTGATAAACAGTCCCTCACCATCTTTCCTGTAGGCCCCTTCAGGTACTGGAAGGCTGCAATAAGGTCTCCCTGGAGCCTTCTTTTCTCCAGGCTGAACAATCCCAGTTCTCTCAGCCTGTCCTCATAGGAGAGGTGCTCCATCATTAATCCTAAAGGACTTTCAGGAGTGATCTACAAATTTTTATTACACAGGAAGTTTAAAAGGATTATTATTTTTTGTCCCTTATGGTCTAAGTAATAGGTTATTTCACTGAACCTTTTATAAATAAATCTTTGGTCCTATAAGATTAGATGTATTCTATAGCAAATTAATTCCTATTTAGTGTATCCTGTACTTGTGAGAGGGATAAGTTATGTACCCTGTTACATAACCTTGGCTATCTGTTAAGCACCTACTCAGGTGATCTCTGACTCCCTCTGCTCAGCAGAATGGGGGAGAAAATAAGATGAAAAAGCTCAAGATAAATACAGGGAGATTGCTTACCCATAACCGTCATGGGCAAACCAGACTTGACTTGGGGAAGATTAATTTAATTTGTTGCCAAATAAAAATAGAGCAGGATGGTGAGAAACAAAGACAAAACTAAAGATATCATCTCCCCAACTCCCCTTCTTTCCAGGCTCAACTTCACTCCTTCATTTCCGACTCTTCTACCTTCCCTGTCCAGCAGCACAGGGGAGATAGGGAACAGGCGTTGTGGTCACTTCACAACCCTTCATCTCTCCCACTCCTTCCTCACACTTTTTCCCCTTCTGCAGTGTGGGCCCTAACCAAGCGATGCAGTCCTTCACAAATGTATCTAGTGCCAGTCCTTCCCATGGGCTGCAGTTCTTCAAGAACTGCTCCAGCCTGGGCCCTTCTCGTAAGGTACAGTCCTTCAGGAATAGACTCTGCAGCGTGGGTCTCCTATGGGGTCACAGGTCCTGCCAGGAGCCTGCTCCAGTGTTGTCTCCTCTCCACAGGCTGCAGTGTGGATATCTGCTCTGACGTGGTCCTCTATGGGCTTAGCTTTGGCCAGGGGTGAGTCCATTTTGGAGCTGGCTGGAACTGGCTCTGTCTGCCACGGAGGCAGCCCCTGGTTTCTCCCCACAGAGTCCATCCCTGCAGCCTCCCCTGCTACCAATACCTTGCCACGTAAACACAGTACAGATGTTCAGTTTCAAACTCAGGCCTTGGATGCCACTCGAGCTTAAAAACTTGGTTGCGTGTCAGTTGGACATGTGAACTGGACAGTTCAACTTGGCCATAATATATGCGTTTCAGTCTTTTTGAATTATTTAATAATGTGTTCCAAATGGGACTGTGTCACCATATTCTAATCAGGTTTCTGCTGCAGTTGATCTGATCTGACAGCCGTCCACCACTGGAGGGGGAGTTTGGTTCCTCAGTTCCCTTACTTCCTGTTCCTTCCCTTCAGTTAGCTTTGCTTGTTAATTGTGTTTCAAAACCAATTAGGCTTGTTTTTCAGAGTTGGTGAGTTTGATTGGTCCAGCAAAGCATCTGATGCTTTTTTACATTCTTGGATTGAGGGTAGCAAGACTCCTTTCTGCTGTGCAGAACCATTAAAATTAATTTAGCTATGATGTATAACACCATTCCATCCGAAAGCTGGAATGGAAGATCTATGTCAAACAGCGAGAAGAGTGAACTTGGATACATCTGTGCATTTTTGAGGAGTCCTAGACTTACTATCATGATTGTGCATTAACAAATATAACAAGGATAAAGATGGCATCATATTTTCCTGGGGGTATTAGAACGAGTTACTTGATTGAGTTTTGCTCCTTTCCCATTTTCTCATCTGTTTTAACTACAACTCCAAGTACACAGCACTCATTTCAACTGCCATGTATATGTAGGCACAGAGAAGATGACAGAAAGGGAGCTGGCTTTTGTGTTGCTATTGCACTGCATTGCATATCATATCTATTGAAGTAGTCTGACTATGTTCGTATACAGATATTTTCCCCATTTTCTAAAATAAAGATGTGCTGTATGCATTCTTTACAAAAATTATTTAAATGTCAACATTAACTTTTTGTTTTGTAAAACATTAGTAAAGATCATAGAATCACAGAATCTTTAAGGTTGGAAAAGACCTCTAAGATCATAAAGTTCAATTATGGACCCAAGACCACCATGTCTACTAAACCATGTCCCAAAGTGCAACGTCTACACGTGTTTTGAATACCTCCAGAGATTGTGACTTCACCACCTCTCTGGGCAGCCTGCTCCAATGCCTGACCGCTCTTTCAGTGAAGAAATTTTTTCCTAATGTCCAATCTAAACCTCCCCTGGCACAACTTGAGGCCATTTCCCCTTGTCCTATTGCTTGTTACTTGGGAGAAGAGAGCAACACCCACCTGGCTACAGCCTCCTTTCAGGAAGTTGTAGAGAGCCATCAGGTCTCCCCTCAGCCTCCTTTTCTCCAGGCTAAACAACCCCAGTTCCCTCAGCTGCTCCTCATAACACTTGTGCTCCAGACCCTTCAGGGGCTTCATTGCCCTTCTCTGGACACGCTCCAGCACCTCAATGTGTTTCTTGTAGTGAGGGGCCCAAAACTGAACACAGGACTTGAGGTGTGGCCTCATCGGTGCTGAGTACAAGGGCACAATCGCTTCCCTACTCCTGCTGGCCATGCTATTCCTGATACAAGCCAGGATGCTGTTGGCTGCTTTGGCCACCTGGGCACACTGCTGACTCATATTCAGCCGGCTGTCAACCAGTACACCCAGGTCCTTTTCTGCTGGGCATCTTTCCAGCCACTCTGCCCCAAGCCTGTAGCGTTGCATGGGGTGGTTGTGACCCAAGTGCAGGACCCGGCACTTGGCCTTGTTAAACCTCATACAGTTGGCCTCAGCCCATCAATCCAGCCTGTTCAGGTCCCTCTGCGGAGCCTTCCTACCCTTGAGCAGATTGACAATCTGGTGGTAATAGTTCATAGACTAAGATAAGAAGATTCTTGGTTACATCTCTAAGTGTGAAGATCAAATACATTGAGGAATGAGGGGTTTTAGCTTTTCTGTTGTGTACTTCTTAAAAGTTTTATTGTAGCGTAGGACAGTCTACCTGAATATCAAACCCATTGCTGTCTGCCGCAATACAGATTACTGAAAACAGTCAAAATCTTTTGTCTAGTTTTTTCTTTGTATGGGTTTTGTCTATATTTCTAGTTAGATTTCATTTGTAAAAGTGGGACAAGCCAAGGTAAACCTGAAGTAGCTAAACAACACTGACTTTTTAATTTCTTTCCACAGTTTTAAAATTGTGAAATCATGGCTCATTCAAAGACGAGAGCCAACGATGGAAAAATCACATATCCTCCAGGAGTCAAAGAAATCTCTGATAAAATATCTAAAGAAGAGATGGTCAGAAGGCTAAAGGTTAGTAAGCAAATAACTGTTTGCAGATTGATTTTTCTTATATACAGCATTCAATGATCCTATTACTATATTTTCTATCCGAAAGGATTATTTTTTTTATTCTTTTGGACTTTACCTTCTGTTCTACCACTTTCTTGAAGTGACTTGTCAAAAAATGTTTAAATGAGTTAAAAAAATCACTAATGGAAATAAGCTATATTAATTTCAAATACTACTTAAATTTTATTTCAGCTCTTACAGTCAGTCAGTACTGTTAGAGAAGAAAATACTGGAAAACATGAAAAGAGAGTCATAATTTTGGAAATAATATGGATGCATCAAAATACATTCCTTTTATGCATTTGTGTTCTTTGTGTTGATTATAAAACCCACTTTATTTTAGCCTGTATCATAACAAAAGTCTTTGATTATGTATATCTGTCTCCTGAATTTCTTGACCACTTCATTTGACTTAACTCTATGGGAAAATTGGAGAGATTTGCTGGATAACTGTTACTGCAGTTCTTTATTGACCCATGTACTCTAACAAAAAGGCAGGCCTGTTAGTATTGTGCAGAAGGAATGCCTGCAACTTGGGTTTGCACTGTGAAATAGGAGGGAACAGATGTGGGAGAGGAACCTTAAATATTCTAACAGTTGGAAGAGCTTAATTTGGAGGTTTGTTCCTTAAGTAGTTTTAAAGTCAGTTTGAACTACTAGTAAATGAACAAAACCCAGTAAAACTCCAAAACACAAGGATTCCTTCTCCCCTTCCCCTAGTAACTTGTCTGTGCTTTAGGAATTGGGCTGATAGACTTTAGTCACTGTACTGTATTCTGTGATTTCGAATAGAAGGTGACACCACTTTATGGGTGACTCCAGCACTTGCATATTGTCTTCAGCTTGTGAAAATGCACACAGTTCTTACTGATACTTTTTCTCCTATAGTTTCATTTAATTTTTGGCCTTGAATGTCCAGTCCCTTCTGTTCTGTCATCTTGATCTGCCTTGTAGGAGATGTGTACTTTGCAGGGTGATTTGTATTTCTTGTCAACTGTTGATTCTGGCTGTGTATTCATCAGTACGCAGGCAGGGAGACAACCGCGCAGTGTTCCTTTTATGAAGGGTTGGATGATCTAGGCTACAGCACAAGTGTATAGACCTGCAGTATAAACACAGTTTCAGGTGCTAAAGAACAGTAGTTGATAAATAACTGAACATTAGCCTCTTCACTTCCCTGACTGCCAAATTTGTATATGTATTAGGAAAGAAGTGCTTTTCTGTGGATTTTATTCTAATTTGCACAAGCAGATAATCTACTGTTTGTTAATGACAATATATTTATATAAACACAAATGATTGTGACATCTGAGAATAAAATGGAAAATATGCACAGTCAATTAATATATTAGCATAACTTACCCCACAGATTGTATGCATTTTTGATCTGTGCGATCTCCAAGTTATAGCAGATTTGAAAAAGAGATAGAAACTAAATAGTCTGAGTTATGAACTAGTGTTGAAGACAGAAAGAAGATGGTAAACTTTTGGAAATGATGAATGGTGTGAGAAGACCATTTTTCCCAGAGTTTCTCTTAGTACACAAGAACCAAGGCATCCTTAATGAAATATATTAATTTTAGGCTAGCAGTCTAATAATATACTTTTCCATAAGTTATATAAAACTAAATTCCAAAGCTTATTACTGTGGAAGGATGTAGGAAAAATGGAACAGGTTAAGAAATATTGGCCACATGTGGAAGATGAAGCTCCAGGAATATTAATCATGGTGGTCTGGGTGCAATTTAAGGCTCAGGAATCCTCTAACGTACTGTTTTGCAGGAAGCTAGAAAGGTGTGCTAGGAGAACTAGCTTGTTTTTCTTTGTTTTTCCTTAAACACTGTGACAGATTACCCTGGAGACAAGATGACTGATTTTTGGTGTCCTGACCAGTATGGAAGTTCATGTTGTCAGGGAGGAGAAACTGAAGGTTCATTTCTAGAGTAGACAAAAAACCCCATGCTTGTTGCAAGAATTCTTGTGACACCTCAATATTTATTTATTATGTCTTTAATTATATATAAATCTAACTACTTTCCATAAAAGTGAAAACAATTCTATGTTTTAAATTCATAGTAAGGGCACCAGTGCACCTCAAATGGTTTATCTTGTGTCTGACTGGGGAGGACTTTACTTTTCTCTCAATGGAAATTATATGTGTGCATAAGCTAATCATCTTCTGTGCCTTTTAGTAAAGGATTCTAATATGCTTGAAAACTTTACAGCTGCTGTGATCCTAATTATGCAGAAGTCCTTCCTCTTTTTTTAAAGTAGGATTTGCTGCCACCTGACCAATTATAGTAAATTTTTTGAGGGAAATAAATAAACTATAGCAAAGTAAAATAATTTGTAGTGGTTGAGGGTGGTTTGTGTTTTGTTTTGTGTGTGTGTTTTTGTTGGGGTTTTGGTTTTGGTTTGTTTTTTTTTTTTTTGAGGAACTTAACTGGCATAAAATATCTCGCACTGGTGAAACAGATGGGAGTTTTCACTTTAATTCTGAGGATTGTGTAATTAAGTCTTTATTACCATTTTGTTAATTTTGACAAGAGTTAACTCCTTAAAATAGCTCTGCCTCTGTGATTCAAATAAGAAATTGGAGAAAAGCCTCATTACGTTGTTTTGTCAATAGGTTTTTCTCTTCCAAACAGTTTTTTAAATGTAAGAAGTCTCATCAACTGGCAGTTACTAATTATGACTTTTCTTGCTTTTTTTCTTTTTAGGGTGTTAAATACTTGGTGTCTCAGACTATTTTTCTTTTTATTCTGTAACTTTAGTATACTGGATCCTAACAATACTAATAGGCATTTTAGTCCTGTTGGACAACGTGCATGCTGCTGGGCTGTGGTGGATTTATATATGCTTCTGCTGAAAGTGAATGCTCTGCTTCTGGGCAGCATGGGGGATAAACTTGTCCTCAGAGCAGTAGTAGAGAGAACCTGAAATTGAAAGAGAATAGAGAGAAAATGAACTGTAACAGTAAACACATTACGGAGAAATAAATATTTTGAATAAAGTTTTGCAGTTTTCTAAATCTTTCAGTGAATGGCTGTCACAGTGAATACTGTTGTATTTTTTGAACTGGTCAACTTGATTATATGGTTTCTCAAAAAGATATGTGAGGTACTACAGCTAGACTTTCAGTAACTCTGCTGAGACTGTGTGTTGGGCTAATTGATAGAGGACTTGACTAGGTCCTTCCTGTACCCTGAAAAATAAGACACGTGTTACTCAAATAAGTACTACTGCATTGCTAATAATGCTTATGATAGAAGTTGCACAAAACCAGAAAAGGAACTTTCAGTAAGGACCCTGTTAGAGTATTTCATTTTATGTACTGATGTCTGTCTCTCTTTTTAGATGGTTGTGAAAACTTTCATGGATATGGACCAGGACTCTGAAGAAGAAAAGGAGCTCTACCTAAATCTTGCTTTACATCTTGCTTCAGATTTTTTCCTCAAACATCCTGATAAGGATGTACGTTTGTTGGTAGCATGTTGTCTTGCTGATATTTTCAGAATTTATGCTCCTGAAGCTCCGTACACTTCACCAGATAAACTAAAGGTAAATTGATTTGTTTTTCCACACCAGGTTTTTGAACTGAATGATCAACATAATTGATTATAACTTTTTTCCTCCCTTTATTTCTGGTTCAGCCTAAGCAATTCAAGGTTTTCACATGATTCTGGGATAGTGGGTGTTTGATCAAGCCGAATGTTCATCAGATAAAGTGATATATAATACCACTCTAATGACTTTACTAACTTTAATGACTTATAGAGTTTTGGAGTTATATTGAAAAGAAATTTTACTGAACTGTCATTTGGAGTTGCAGATATCAGTATTTCTAAAATAAGACTGTTATGTCTATAGCTTTTATTGTAATATCTTACAAGATAGCTAATTCCTTCAATTGGGAAAATACCCCTGCTGTTTCCAATTAAACTACCATGAGATGATTACTGTATTTTTCTAGATAAAAGTTGTATTGAAACAAAGAACAAGCATTTTTGTACAGAGCATAATGATTTCTGATGTGAATTGGAAAATTCTTCAATTACAAACATCACTGATCCCACTAGATGGAGATGGTTGATAGAGAAATGCCAGGTTTGAAAAGGCAGTACAGATCTGCCCCATTTGTTTCAGAAAAAATAAATTTTAGATTAGTTTGTTTTCTCTTTTTTTAAAAATAGAAATCTAACTTTCTTTCCAACTGACAAAATCAAAGTACTTCCCTTACACAGTCTGAATCTAGAGCGATGAACCAACCAAGTCTTATAGAAAGTCTTGCAGGGGAAAATAACAGTGAAAAACATTTACTTTTTTTGTCGTCCTGATTCAAGAGTGTGTGGGGGCTTTTTTGTTTTGGTTTGTTTGTTCCACAGATAAAAAGATGGTTGTGGTGATAGGTAACTATTACCACTTAAGAAGAAATCACTCAATTTCTGATCTAGAATTTTCTGATCTAGAAGCACCAGAAGTGCTTCTTAAGTAGGGCAAACAGTACAGTTTCTACTGTAGTACATCCTTTGTTACCTGACATGCTGGAGACGCACCTAGGGATTTCTGTTTAGCTGTATTTTCTTAATTCTGAATTATTTCATCTCTGATTGCATGCTATCTAGTTACCTTACTTATTGATTACACCATCTTCAACTGGAGACAAACATTAGCTTTCTCTGCTGTGCTATATTTAAATCTGGTTTTGAGGCATCTTGATTTCTGCTTCAGTTTTGAGTATATGTTTTCTTTTGCTTGTTAGGCTTAGAACTTTATTTTTCTTCCTGAGTTGGGCTTACAAATTATAATATTCCTTCTTATAGAATTTGATCTATCAAATGCTACTAAGCTTCAAATTTTATAGTATATAACATTGGAAGGTTTACATTACTGATCTCATACTTGCAGTGTAAGCATACTGCTACCACTTGGATAGAGCTCTGAAGAGACTAGGAACTTCAGCTGTTAGCATTCAGATCTGTCATCTGTGCAGATTTCAGAATTCAGTTTCTTGATGCAGATTTCTAATCACATTTTGAGAAATTAAGAAAGGACAAACAATACAGACCTTTGCTTCGGGCTACTGAGGCAGTTTTTTGCAAACCCGTTTCCGCTGAAAACAGCTTTTGTGGTTGCAGGACAAGCTCTGATACAAATGTTGAAGAGTACCCTCCACTTTATGACAAAGAGGTAAGAGGAAGAATGCTTCCTCTTAGGTTATATCTTGGCACTATTTTTACCCTGTATTTAATATCCATACTGCAGCTTTGAGTCTCCTCTAATAAGGTTTAGCACCAAAGTTAAAGATGGCAAAGGGAAGTGCTGAAAAGAATAATTTCATTAGGGGAAAACTTAAATCTTAAGTGTTTGCCCTTGCTTAAGACTATGTGGAACTCTTTGTAACTTACACATCGTGCAAGTGAGATACTGAGAGAAGGGATCAGAATTTTGGGTTTCTCTCTTTTATGTGTATCCTCAGTATAAATCTTACATTCCTCACTGAGCATTGAAAGAGCTTTGACAACAGGGATGGAAAATGCCACGAGTAGGCTAAAAGCAGAACTGGTGCAGGATTGCTCTTCTGGGACCTGGAAACTTCTAACTTAAGTCCTCCTCAGTCTGGGGAAAGCCTAAAGCTCAAATCTAATTTTCTGGGGGGGGAAGATGTTCTAATCACTGATGTATGTCAAAGAAAACCACTTGGACAAATAGACTGTCTGCCTGACTCTGAAATGGAGATGTTCAAGAGTGTATATGGTAGCAGAGCTTCAATTACCTGAATGTGTTCTATGGTGAAAGCCATGGTTCTGATGCTTACTGAAGCCATTATGGTTAATTGGTATCAAGAAAGCAATCCACAAAAAAACATTCAATGATATTCCTAAAGTTGAAGTGTAGGCACTTTTGATTTTAGAGTCTGGGTTCTAGTGTATAATTGTTTTATGAAGTCTGATGTGAAACAATATTATCTGATGTGAAACGATATTGTCCAATAATATTTAGGGACCAATTTAGGGTCCCTAAAGATCATCTAGTTCCAACCCCCTTGC